CCTTACTCTGTAGTCACAAGGGCTTCAGCCAGAGAAGGCAAAAACCCAGGGACACCAACCCCAAGTCGCATACCCATCCTAAAGACCCGTGTAGGACTCGTCTGTCCTGGTACTATGTCTGCATTGCCACAGTCTAGTCCTGAAACGGCGCAGGCAATACTAGTAGGACAGGATACTACACCTGCACCAACTGAAAGCCAATGTGCGAAGTACAACAAACCTAAAAGGAAACGCTCAAGACGTCATAAGACCTAGAAGGCGTCACCAAGTAAGGGAGACGAATGCCAGGCGTGCGATGTCATTGTTTCTAAAGCTGACTCAGCTTTCGAATGCAATTTTTGCAAACGGTGGGTGCACTGCCGTTGCGACAAAGAGGTACCGAAATCATACTACGAGTGTATGAGAAATAACCCGTGCCCCTGGTTTTGGTACATCTGTCCACTCTGTCGCCCTGGCGTAGTCACACAGAGCGTGTCTGCGGTTAGCAGGAACAACACGCCGCCCTTGTGTCCCAACACGGTCTTATGTAGCTCCCCACCTGCTAACATCACCTTGCCAAAACTTGGCACAGACAGTAAGAAGGACACTCCAGTCCTACTGACCGAAAATGCCAATTTTCACAAGGTGAAGATTCACAAGGTTGGACCTAAAACATCAAGGAAAGATAGAGTTAGAGAAGCGCCACTTGCATTCACAAGCAAGCTTGGCAACACAATAAAGGCTGGCCAGAACTCGATGAAGCCTAAAGTTGCTGATGCTGCAAAGGAATACGAGAAGCCAAAGGCCAAACCTAAGTCTGAGGTTAATCGGTCTAATTTGCTTATCCTCTTTAACGTACCTGTGAGCAAGGACAGCTTGCTTGAACAGCGGGCCCTGTTTGATCAGGAACAGTGGTCCAACCTGTGCAATAAACTAGGTCTGAATATTAATTCAGTGAAATTGTGCAGGCTGTACAGGGGTGTCCACACACCTCAAGGTAAGCCACCCCCATTACGGGTTACACTGGACTCTGCCAAAGAGGCCGAAAAGGTACTATTGATGGCTCAGGTACTAGCCATCGACAGAAGCTCTAACATAAGGGTGAGACAAGACAGACCATAGGCTGTCAGACAAATGGCGAGGGAGTCACCGGAACTTTTGCCTTCTACCTCCATGGTGGTACACGGTGTTCCGGAGCTAGAAACGGGTACAGCCTGTGAAAAACACATGCATGACGTACAGCAGTGGAGATGGCTGTCGTTTCAGATGGCCCTTGGCGCTTCTGGAGCCACCTCCGTTTACCGACTACCTCGCCCCGCTCATCTAACACTGATTAGCTCCCCAAAGCTGCTAAGTGTCACATTCAACTCCCCAGAGCAGTTGGCCATAACACTTCAACGGTGGTATGAGATCAAGGGGAAACTGGGAGGACACATCCGATGCTCCGAAAGCAGACCTCGAACCATAAGGAGGCAGCGAACGGAGGCTTTAATACGTCCCCAAGCTTCAGTGACACTCGAGCGATGTAGTTCTGAGAATAACAGTCTGTGCCACCCAAGTGTCCTGCCTAAATCCAAGGGAAAAAACCACAACAGGCCGGTTCCATCAGAACTGGCCAACTAGTCCCAACACTAAGTTCCCTACCAGCAAACAGCTTCACGTCAACTACCCCACAACACGCTGAGGTTGTAAGACTCACTGTCAGCTGCCTGTATAGCAATGTGAGGGGGCTGAGAGTAAAAGTAGGTGAACTCCGAAATCTCCAAGCACACCTACAACTGAAAATGATCATTCTCACCGAAACATGGCTAACCCCCACTATCGCCGGTAATGAAATCAGTATAGGTGATATGGTATTGGTCAGGAGAGACAGGGATAATGAGGAAGGAGGGGGAGTTGCCATATACTTTGATAGGCAATTTAAATGTGTGTGAGCAACGGACCCACCACTTATTGAACTCCCAGACTCCATATGGTGTCATTTCACCGTAGGCCACACGAAGCATTTACTTGGTGGCATCTACCGATCTCCCACCTGTGGGGCAGAGCACAATCAGATACTGCTCAGCACTATCACAGGGATACGAGACTTGGGCTATGACCAAATCACCATTGCTGGAGATTTCAATGCCCCATTACTGAACCTTGGCTCGGGGTATGCTAAGGGAAAATTCGGCCGAAATCTACTGCAAGCTATTCGGAACACAGGACTGACTGAGAACGTTGGAGACGACACTAGGTGGGGCTCTAGTGGAAAGTCATCAAAACTAGACTACATTCTAACTAGTGACCAACTACTCGTCGAAAAGGTCCAGGTCATGACTCCTCTAGGAAGTAGTGACCATGCAGTCATGGGTTTCGACCTCGTTCGCCGTGAGCACTTGCAGTGGGACGCTACGCAACCATGTCTGTGTTATAGCAAGGCTGACTATGCTGAAATGCGGAGGCTCGTGTCCAACACAGACTGGCCCTTAGCATGGGATGAGCTGTCTGTGGATGAACACTGGGAGGTGGTAAAAAAGATTAGTCACACAGTAATCTCGGATACCGTCCCTTTAGTCACAGCACAGCCCAAAAGAAAATCATCATGGTTAAAGAGAGGCACGCAGCGTATTCTGCAAGCAAAACGGAAGGCTTGGTTTACGTGGTGTGTATCTAAAAGCCAGATCGACCATGATGCATACCTGGAACTCAGGAACCTGTGCAATGCAAAAGTCAGGAGGGATAGAAGGCCATTCCAGGCTAACCTTGCTAAAAAGCTCCTGGCAAACCCGAAAAATTTGTACCGATTCATGTCGGAAGGGAAACCAACCAACCAAGGGGCTTGCGCCTTAGCAGGCCAAAACGGTCAATATCTCACTAGTCTGAAGATGGCTGAAACATTCAGTTTAGCCTTCGCCAAACAGCTAAACAGCAATGTGGGTATTACCGTTACGAACCAAAATGGTGGCATGACTATTTCACAGGGGGAAGACCAAATAGCCACCCCCCAAATAAACCCTGCAATAGTACTGAGAAGGCTGCAGCGACTCATACCTGGGAAGTCCCCGGGTTGTGGCGACATCAGGCCATCTGTTCTGAAACAGTGCGCCGAAGCTCTCTGTAGGCCTTTATGCGACTTGTTCCAACACTCCACGGAGTCGGGGAAACTGCCAAAGGAATGGAAAAGAAGCATCTTTTCTCCGATCTTCAAGGGTGGGGATAGGCAAAATCCCACCAGTTATAGACCAGTGGCTCTACTCCTAGTGGTATCAAAAGTACTGGAAAGTATTATTGATGATCATATCAGGGAATATCTGGATAGGTCTAAAATACTCCATGAAGCCCAACACGTTTCAGGAAAGGGAGATCCTGCGTCACTAACTTATTATCAGCTTGGGACGACTGGATATCATGCTGGGATATGAGTGTTCCAGTCCATGTGATCTTTCTACACTTTGAGAAGGCATTTGACACTGTTCACCATTACTTTCTCCTACACAAAATAAGTCAGGTAGGTTTAGGTAAACCACTTCTGTCATGGTTGAAGGACTACCTAACTGAAAGGCAATTTTGCACCAAGGTCAGTCGAGTCCGATCATCTTGGCACAGCTCGTCATCAGGAGTGTCGCAGGGTTCCATCCTGGGACCACTGATGTTCTTGATTTTCATCAATAATTTACCATGCCGTCTAAGCTGCCCGACTCTTTCACACGCTGACGACGTAAAGATATGGAGGGCGATAAAGTGTCCGGAGGGCTCAGATAGACTGCAGGCAGATCTAAGGCTTCTGGAAGACTGGGCGGTAACCAGTGGCATGACTTTCAACCTGAAAAAGTGCAAAGTAGTGAAGTTACGCACCTGTAGACTGCAGAATGCAAGTTACACCCTGTGCAATGAAGGCTTGTCCTGCTCAACGTCGGAACGTGACTTAGGTCTAGTTCTAATGGAGAAAATGGACACAAGCGTAAATTACACGGGGAATGTAGCGAGGGCATATGCGGTCATACACTTTACACATAGACAATTAGGTGCACTCACTCCTGAGCTCTTTCTAAGGTTGTATAAAACATACGTCAGAACGCATCTTGAAGTGCATATTATCATTGCACCTCCACTGCTTAAAAGAAACGCCAACCTTTTGGAAAGAGTCCAACGACGGGCAACAAAAGGAGTGGTTGGTCTCCAATATAAACCATATGACGAAAGGCTGAAGAAATTAGGCCTCTTCACACTTAGCTACCGTTGGCTCAGGGGGGATTTAATTACTGCCTACAAAATAACAAATGATCAGAACCACCCAAACAAAGGTGTTCTGCCATTGAGTAGGTATAGGCTTCCTCGTGGAAATCCTAGAAGGATAGCTCATCAGAGGGCAAGGACCCGGGTGCGCTCCCACTTCTTTTCCCTGCGGGTTTGCCGTCCCTGGCATTCCTTACGCCAGATGTAGCTATGGCACCATCTGTGGACGCCTTTAAGCGAAGGCTGGACAACCATGCGGCGACACAAGGACTTCATCCAAATGGCCTATCCCCTTAAAATCGCATATACCATTCAAAGGTAGACAATTAAACTGGTCGTTTTACTTCTTCACATTCCCTTCAGTCTTACTCTCCTGACAGCTTTAACTACACCTATTATTATTATCATTATTATTACTGATATATATATATATGTATACCGGTTGACTGACTGTTGTTACGTTTTCTCATTCTTTCTCTGTCTGTTAGTCTGAATACCTTTACTAATTATATCTATTATTATTATCTCTTTTCCATTGACGACGATACCGTAGGACTAACTGGTGAAAGGATCAACTCCATTCACAGTAGTAACAGTCTTAACACACTTCATACTACAAACCCCATATAATTAACGCCAGCACTACTCCTGTTGGAGTCAACCAAAGCTACGACAGTCGAGTGGCGGGACGAGCTACACAGACGTTTACCGAAGATCAGAAACCTCTACCTCACAATCAAGAGGCGAGCACAAAGAAATCAAATTGGTTTATACTGGCTCGTAAAAACGATATTGGATATTGGAGCCAAAACCAATTGTTGCGTTACTTGATGATGTACGCTATTTTAGAGTAAGTTGCGTTAGGGGCTTAAGTTCATTTGTAAGGTGTGCCGCATTTTAAAATCGCAGTTATCTTTAAATTATGAGGGTTTTAGCACTGTTTTTCGGGAATTGAATCAAGTGTAGAAATTACATAAATGAATAAACTCATCAATGAGTTTAATTATACCGTATCTCTTGTGACCTCTTCAGCCTAACGATTTACATTGTGTAGTATGAGACATGTTGAACTCTCCAGAAACAGTTTAAGTAAACGCATGTTTCAGTACATATATGCGTATATGTACCTCAGTATCCTCCCATTTCCCCCCTCTTTCTCTTAATGGAGTGTCCCACTTTTTCCCCCTCTTTTTAACACGTTTTCCCCGTGTTTGTCCGAGTACCCACATGTACCTGTAGGTGTCTATGCAACATAACTATGGGTTAATTGATGAATGAGAATCACTTTCACATTAAGCCTTATCAGGTCTCCTTAAATTTGTCACACATGCATAAGTGTTACATCAACTCAACTATAGTTAAGTTATTAATGAGTTATTATAACTCATTAATTTGTAATATAGTTTATTCTAAATGACAGTTGATTCAGATTTATTGGTTGAAGGTAAAAGGCGTGAAACGTATGTTAATCGTTCCCTAATACATTTCCGTCCTTATCTGAACTCTTATTGAATTATTCAACTGAGGACGCTGATACAACTTCTTCTGGAAGTCGGTTTTAGCAGTTTGTGACTCTATGTGAGAACCAGTAGTAAACAGCGATATAGCTCCTCCTTGGCTTTTAAACTCTCCTTCTATATCTTCTAAGGTGTTCCGACCTGGTGAGAACGAAAACTAGATCAGGTCCACAGTCATTATATGAAATTTTGGACATTGTATTTTGATCTCTGCCTACTATATGACAGGGAGAGGAAATTGAAACTATCTAGTCTTTCATTGTATGATAAGTCAGTCATGCCAAGAATCATCCCCGTCACCTTCCTTTAAACTCTTTTTAGGATATGTGCGTTGGTGGCACTGTGGTTAGGACTCTACCGACTATGCACTTGGTCGGGGGTTCGATCCACTACCGACGCACAGCTGATACCAATGGTCAGCCTGTTAAATTTGGGCTACCGATATCACATGCTGAAAATTCGATACTTGTACCAAAAAGTACTGTGTGGAATCAAACTATAATCAAAAAAATCTTAAGACAAGGACTGGCCACCTGGATGCAGCTTTTCAGTCTTAACCTCACCAGAGGCGTAAATAAAAAAATTGGAAATATCTTTGGTGATCCTATTAAACCCTCTGTGTATTTCCCATAAAAATCTAGAACTCCGAGTTGCCACTATGTGACAGTGTGCTGTCGATTTTAGGCCGTGACTTATTATGATGCCTAAATCCATATGAGTGTAAACTGATGTGTCATTCCCTTCAGTTCGTATAAGCTGATGCCTGCATTTCCAGTGTTCATGGTTGCACACTTCTTTGAACTAAAGTAACAATTCGTTGAGATCTTGCAGCTTCAGAGTGTTATTGTCCCCTTTTACCTCCCCAAATTATTGGGTCATCTGTTTAGAGGACCATAGTGGACTTGGTAAACCTAAATAACTCGCTGACATATAAGATATATGAGAGGGAGCCGAGTACGGCGTCCTGTGGCGCTACACTATGTACCCCTGTTCAGAGGGAGAGTCTTGAGTTGGTTCTGACTGTGTCTCCTACCTATGAGGAATCCCCTAATCCAATTTATCAAACTGTCCTTGATTCCAAGACTTTTCAATTTCATGAGCAGTCTTGTGTGAGATGCTTTTTTAGAAGATCACTAAAGTCTATGAAAACGATGTTGACTGGTTTCCTGTCGTCCCCCGACTCCTCCCAGCTTTCTCGTGCCATAAGATTTCTCAGACATAAGGGGTTTCCCCGGAAGCCATACTGTGTTTTGGGAAGCAAGTTATTTAACAGATATGCCATGATAACTTGCTTGGTGGTTCCTTCCAGTATCTTGATTAAGAGACTGGTAGACTTGTAGTTTGAAGGACAGAACCTGGATCCTACTTTGTGTTTGCTGGACACTATGGTATCTTTCTAGTCTCAGAGTAACTCTCCATTAAATAGAGATAGCTTAAAAATCGTAATCAATGAGTCGACTATATGGTTTGCTGGCTCCTTGATGGGCCTTTGATGAAGGTAATCGGGTTGCATTGATTAAATTTGGTTGCTGTTAATTATTCATATGCTCCGGAAATAGTTTTATCACTACATTAACTGATTAATGGTCGAACAAATAAAAGGTGAGCCACTGACTTGCCCCTTTTTGAGGTAGAAAAATGCGTAGGGTATTAACTGACAGACACCATCGTAACTCAGTTTTGTGTTGTCAATTTTTAGCATTGATGAGAAGCAACGATTCCTTAACTTGCTACGTATAAATGAAGCTGTGAGGACTCATAGGAGCCAGTAAAGTTATTTCGTTGACGAAAGATTCTCAACGTCTTTATTTCACCATTTTTGTAAGAAAAACTGACACCTTCCTCAGTTTTCATTCTGCTGTATGCCTAGTATACTCGTTTCGAAACAGGGAATTTAGCACTGAAAGTGTCGAGAAGAACAATGACTTTTTCAATTACACTACGTATCTCAGAGAACCTAATGACACTAAAGATAGTTCCATAAAATTAATAGCCTACTGTTTCATCGATTTACGTTATTGGGTACTGATATGCTCTATTTTAGTGAGTTTATAAAGCAGAAGACACTCATTTAGACACTTTAGCTTCCTGGTATGTTACGTTCACTTTGCGTGGAATCTCTGACTGGTTCACTCATCAACATAGAATTCTCACAATAATGCAGCTGAAGTTGCCACACTCCAGAGGACACAAATGTAGGATGATGTTACAGGACTGGAATACACTGACTCATGGCTTAGAAGTAGTGAGTAAAGTGGTAGAGCACGTTGACCGCTTCACTTATTTGGGAAGTTGCATCAGACCCAACGGGTTGATCACTGACGAAATCTCAACACGGATACAGAGGGCTAGTTTCGCATATGCCAGTTCACGCCGTCTCTGGCGTAGACGTGATATCTGGCTATCGACCAAAGAGCGTGTGTACTGCTCAGCAGTCCGCCCCTTCCTCCTTTATGTGTTACTGTACAACACTGTGCCATTTATCAAAATAAAATCTTATCCATAATGGAATTATGCTCTACCACAGTGCCCAAGTTTTATACTTATATCCCGTGTTAGGTGATAGGTGTAATAGTATGACCAATATTCAGGTTAGGCGTCGAGTGCTACGTTGGTGGAAGGGGAAATCAACCGACGAGGCTGTGAAGCTACATCGACTGAGATGGTTAGGACACGTGTTACGCATGCCTAGTCTAGCCACTGCCTTCCTCGACGGGCAATGTTAGCTGATATAGGGCCAGGCTGGAAAAGAGCTAGCGGCGGTCAAACCAAAACATGGCACCAGTCAATGAAATCCACAACAGTTAGTCTAGGCCACGTAGGAAGATGTAGACTTCCTGGTTGGGTTCCTCAGGACGGTAAAACCAATGGTTGGAAACAATTGGTGACATGGCTCAAAATCGTTCTCAGTGGCGCAGATGCATCCACTCCTTGTGACTTATGATTTCCAATGAAACTGTTTTGTTCTTGGTTATTACTATTCCTTTGTCTCACACCTCTGTTTACTGTCTATATTATGCATTTCTTCTACTTTCTTCTGTTGCTCTATTTGCTACATAGAGTGTGGTGACTTGAAATGCTGCACATCAGTGCAAAGTTCTATGTTGAAAACAGACAGACAGAGGATAAAAAAGTGTAAAAGAGAAATGTAACAAAACTGTAGTGTTCAAAGATATATAGGGGGAGAGAATTGATAAATATTGGTAAGGATTTTCAGGATCTGAATGATATCAGGAAATAAATACATCTGTGCCCTCAATAAAGGTTTTGGGTCGATCGCCAACAGCCTTCAACCATTGATTCTTCCACTCCAGTCAGGTGGTCTGCTCTGTCTGGTTTTAACCTAGAACTTTGCACTGGTGTGCAGCAGTTCGTGTCGCCACACTTCACTCAGCACACAAAGCCAGAGAGGAAAGTAAAAAGAAACGCAAAATAGAGACAGTAAACAGAGATTTAAGGCAAAAAGAATAGTAGTATCGAATATCAATATAGTTTTATTGCACCTCTTTACACCTCGGCACCTCTCTGAATAGCCTAGTCCAAAACCTAGTGGACTGATGTCAGCAGTAAATCTATTAAGGTTGGTGTATTTCCTCAAATGCATTCAGCCATTTCACGCTCTATCCTTAAACCAGGATTAGTTGCAGACTAATCTTGCAACATCACTGCATGGCAAGCATACTGAAGTTTCTGTATAATGTTTTCAGAAGGGTGCATTTTGTTAGTGCCATCACCCAAAAGGACGGTATCATCTATACACTTTAGATCAATTTAACTATTCCCTTTCAGCCAGTCAAATTCTTAGACATTGAAGACTGTCATTGTAACAGCCAGTAGTGCGTGTAATGAAATGAAAAAGAATGGTGTCAGTAGACATACATGATGTTCACCACTGGTTACCTTCACTTCAAATAACATCTCTCAATAAGCTCTTGCATTACCGAATGAGTTCGATCATAGTGGTTTGGTTAGTGTAGTATTATTTTTCAGCACATTCTTGACATCCACACATTTCTACAACACTTCAGTCGGCAAGGTTGGATGTTAACTTCTAGTCAGTGAATATGTGATGGGTGCCAGTAAGTGTGCCTGTTTCAGCAAATCCTCTTTCAAGCCTGGAGCATGTCTGGTTTTCTTGGATTTGTTTTTTCCTAACCCGACCTCATCTTCGCAGAACTACGGAATACAGAATCCTACATACTGTTATTTAAGCTGAATCCCCTGTGACCATTAGGCACTTTGTATCCTTTCTTGTAAACTCGTTTATTTAGCTGTTAACTCCAATCTTATGGAACTGTCTCGGAATCTTATACTCAAGCTAATATTTTGGTTAATCTAGACAATAATTCATTGTAACCATCTTTAAACACCTCTGTAGTCACATCATCAGGTCTCTCTACTTCTCTTCGTTTTGGATTAGAGACAACTTCTATAACATCTATTGCAGATGGCTTACTAGGCATCTTGGTTTGATAGGAATGATGTCCAAATATGTATCCCATTTCGCTTCATCTTACTAAGTGCCTCTAGTCTGAATTTATGAGTACCATTGAGTCGGAGAACAGTTGCAGGGCTACCCATTTACACACTTTGGCATGTTTTAGTTTTCTTAAATGTTTACAGTAAGACTCTTTTTGCTAGTAATATTACCAAAAGAAATTTTATCACTGCAAGTGTTTTCAGCTCAATATATTGATAGCTTATTTTCACTTATTTAATAATTATAGTTATCAATGTGACATTTTGTATGTAGAGATATGAATTTCAGTGTAAACATTATTGAGGCTTATCAGAACATTGTCAGTCATGTACAGAATAGACTTCTGTATTTTCGGTCCACAGCCTCAAATATTTAGTATCTCACACTGAGCTAGCAGAGTTTGCGTTGGCAAGTTTTTAGATCACTTGTGACACAAATTTCAGGAAGACTGGAAATTTAAAATTATCGGTACAAAGTCTAAATGTTTTCTTATAACCTGTACTATCAGCCTGTTATGCAAGATTTTTAAATAAGGCAATGATAGTATGATAAGCATTACTCGGATACATTGTTTATTGTTCTTCTTTAATCGTCAGCTATTTCATAAGTCTCTGTTTATGTGCAGTGAGCACATAAATATTTATAGATCTAACTTCACCATTGTTTTTGACTTCAACTATACCAAAGTGGAGACGGATGGGACATACATTGAGAAGGCCGTTGAATGACATCGCACACCAGGCCCTCGAGTGGAATCCAAATGGGAAGCGACGAGTGGGTCGTTCTAGGGTGACATGGAGGAGATCGTGTGAGGAAGAGATGAGAGAGTTTGGCCAATCGTGGACCCAGCTGAAGAGGACGGCAGAAAACAGAATAAAGTGGAGATGCGCTGTTGAATCCCTATGTTCCTCTCTGAACGCAAGGGAATATCAATATACCAACTAAAAATTCGTAGAGCAGATATTAGCAGACATGAGATTATGAGGTTTAAAGGTAGTCAAACTGTAGTCAATCAATACTGTGATAATTTAGTGCTACTCCCTATCAGTTTTAGTCTGTTACTTGCTCTATCCTTATCTTGGTTAAAATAGTGCGTTGATTCTGACTAGCTTTGTTTATATAGTATATTAGTATAGTCCCAAATGCATTACTTGATTTGTTCTCCTACTAATAATTGTTTGTTTGAAGTCACCAGTAGGTTGGAATGTTGTAGTGAAAATGTTTAAGACCATAATTATAATGTTTGAGTAAAGCTATCATTAAAGTAGATATGAAGTTCATAAATGAAATTTTCAAGAGTTTTTATTTTCTACCTATCATTTTTATGTAAGTAGAGAGTATGTATGTGGTCTTTTTACAGTGAATATTGGCCAACCTAACACAAGGTTCCATGTGATTTTTAAGTTGTCCTATTATTGATTATTATTTAATAGACAGGTTGTTCTTAATTCACTGTGACCTAACTGTTTTTCGCGTATAGAGTAAGTGTCATTAAAATGCTTTCTGTAATTCTGTGTGACATAATCAATAGTAGGACAAAGTGTGAGCACTGTAGTAAAGTATAATTCCACAATAGAATAATTCATTTAATATAGCACCCTGTAATGGAGAAGATACTTATTAATATGATTATGGGTAATACATTTTGCTTGAGACTTTATCAACATTGGTCACCTGAGTTGAAATATAATTTTCTTGATGCACTTTGTAGAATTGTACTGATAAAAACATGTTAATTAGTTGAAATTGTGAAATTCAAGTAATATTGCGTGTGTATTACTTTTCTTTTCTGTCTAGGTAGTGTTTGTATCATTCCAGAAAATATTGGAGCTTTAAATAAATAGCATAATAATAATTACGGATTATTAGCATGGATTCAAGTCAGTTACTCAATGCGACTGATAGTTCAGCATTAAAACACATTCATTTCTGTGATCTTCACTTTTTTCAAACAAAAGCTAATTTTGCTACATGGAATAAATCAGAAATCACTAGGTTTCTTCATGGACTTGAAAGTAATTTACAAGACTGCCCTAGTATTGTAAACTTAATCATTCCAATTTGCAAAGAAGGCATTTTACGGTAAGTCTTTTCTTTTTGTATTCTGCTGTTATTCTTTTGTATACAGATCAATGGTTTATTAGTTTTGAGTAATTAATTGTGTCACACTGTCTAGCCGTTGCTTTACTGATTAGTAAATTGCTCATAACTAGTGAATATGTGTATACCTTGTTGTTGTTATTGCTGTCGTCATTATTTTATTGCTACCTTTTGTACATACCAGTTGGTTTGCGGTTCAGTGGTCTAAGTATTCCGTTACACCGCACACCTTATTCCATTCCACTTAATTCACCATAGATTTCTGAATGATGTAAGCCTTCAAATGTTTGTGGTTTGGGAAGAAGTACACGAAGTCAATTCAGAGTTCCAGAGTTGTATTCATTTGGATGACGTAAATGTGTAAAAAATTCAAACTACTCTTGTTTTTAAAAATGCAATTTCAGTCTAATGAATATTCTTTTTATTTTATATTGTAGCATTACTAAGTCAGTTACAAATGAACAACTTATTTGCTTTCCATTGTGTGAAGTTAGACATTTGATAAAAAGTTTAGACTCTGCAACAGCAAATTACGTTTTATTAACTCGCGGCACTCTTACACCACAAACTCATAGGAATAGCACAAACAATGAGGTGGCAAGTGATTCAACCGGAGAAAGTTTATCAAGTTCATATCAAACATATATATTTCGTTGCCAAACATACCATGGGGTAATTTACTTTTTTTTCTCTAAAATGCTTTGTAGTATAAATTGTCGTATTCAAATTATTTTTGATGAGATGATCGGTGATAGTCTCACTTCTTAAACTTTGATATTTAATTCGGATGACTGTAGAGAAAAACCCTATTCAATATTTAGTTCAATTTGGACTTTCTCGCTGATTGATTGGACCTAAGTGCTCGGCGTCAGGTTGATATGTTGGCTCCTTGTGCAGATGTTTCGACATTGTCTGATCATTTATCTTGAAGTAGATTGGTGGATGGTGACTAGCAGTGGAATCCAAGATGCTCATTTCGTCCTTGGGAATACAGGTACGTGTAGATGACGAGTCCCAAATGGGAGGAAATGTTCGTCTTGAATTCCACTGCTAGTCACCATCCCTCAATTTACTTCAAATCCCATTCATGTTTGGATTGGAATTCATATTTTGTAAGAGTTGACTTGTAACACAAGATGGTTATTCTTGACTGTATTTAGTCATTTCATCCATTTGTTTTAATAAGTAAATAAGCCTTTATTCTTGATTATCATTTTTTCAAAGAAATTTGTAATCTTGTTTTGTCTAAGAAATCGAAGGTAGCCTTAATATCAAGAAATCTAACAAGCGTTAGTCTATTAGAAGCCTGGTGGTGTCTGAGCAGACTGTAGTAGGGTGAATGCATGATTGATGAACTCACAACTTGAACAAAGCCCTAACCTGTCATTCGCGACTTTATTATTGACGCCTGAATTGCAGAGTAAACTACTAGGCTCTGGCACTGTTAATCCTGCCCTATAATGTATCATTAATGAGAAGATATGTGCCTGAGAAATAATATTGGATTAAATCCTGAGCTCTTTAGTAGAATAGCATTCTGTGTGAGTCTGCTTCCTAAGTATTTGTTGCATAATAATAATGATAATAATAATAATGGTTAACTGTTAAGCAACACTTTTTCACTGTATGATATACTTAACACCGGCTAACATCATACAATTAGGGGAAATGATAAGAGTCTAGTGAACAATAACTATTATGTGCTAATAATTACAAATGTGTTTATCAAGGAAATATTAAACTTTGTGCATGGAAATGAAAATTGTATCGATAGATATTTTATGTGCTACTATTAGTCATGTCTGCAACACTACCTCTTAATCTGTATTTATATAATGACATACCATTTCGATACAATTTAGAAACATGTAATAAACAGTTACAGACAATGTATCATTTAACCATGCCTTAAAAGCCCTGATAAATCTAGTCTTTCTCTTTATATCTAATGTTACAGAAGTTTGCAGTAGCTAATATGCCTTCAGTGAATCTACACTCACGTGGAGATGAGTCGAACCTATTATTCAAGGATTGGTTTTGTAGGGATTTGATTGATTGGCCACATGATTTCATCATGAGGTGACATCAGTTAGAGAACCATTGGAAAACCTGCCGGGAGTACTGGAGAGCTGTTTCTTCCTAGTTTGGGACTCTTCATCAGTACGCACCAACCGGGTCGCGCAATATCGTGAATTGGCAGAAGTTAGAATTCATGTGCCATTGGGTCGGGTCCCAGTGGCTTAATGGTCTACAAGCTAGCTTGCCTTGTAACCAGAAGGTCCTAGGTTCGGACCCCGGTGGGTGCGTACTGATGAAGAGTCCCAAATCAGGGCGCAACAGCTGTCCAGTGCTCCCTGCAGGTTTTCCAATGGTTCTCTAACTGATGTCAGCTCATGATGAAATCCTCCAGACAAACCTATTATTCACTATCTTTTGAAACTACCTAAACCCCAATACATAAAGTGGAGTTCGAACCTACAACTGAATGATTGAAAATAAAACTATGAAACTAGTGAACCATAGTTAAAATAAGTTTTGTACGACCTTTTCTATTGACAATTAAAATTTCGTGATTGTATATTAATGACCAAGTCCTTATCATCATACTTTGATTCACCTTCTTGTATTGATTTTCATTTTATAATTTATATTTTGACATCTACTTACCTTTACTGTATGTATATTCTTTCTTCATCTGACAAGTTGATTATTGACATATGATGATAGAAGCCTTCTACATTTTTCTACAGTTCTCGTAAACTTTTGAATGACAATTTGGAGAGCTTTTTTTTCATTGTTCAGTTTTTTTGGCTGTTATTATTCCAAATTAGATGTTGATACAATGTATCCATATGCTACTCCATTTACGTTAATAAGACACTGAAATATCAAATGACACGCGTATGGGTGTATTGCACTATCTGTTATAGTTTTTCTATGTGTACTGCACTTACCATATATCACATAGTAATTATTTTTGTGTATATCTATCAGAAGTATTCTTAATTAGATATCTGTCAAACTATCTATATATTACAATCAGCAGATAATTATTCAAGAAGGCAGATTGAAGAGAAAGGGAGAGATTAAAATTTTTATTATCTGTAGTTAAGAAATCTTCATGTTAGAGATACAACTTGACATTGAATGAATGAATGAATGAATAAAGCAAAGAAACCAGTTTATTTTGTTTTTCATACATGCATTTCATTTTGTTGTGCACGTCACTCTGTTCATTGTGGCAATGTGTGATTTGTTGGCTTTTATTTTCAAATAATGCTTCCTGGTTAATTGACTGAATGTCAAAGTAGAATGTTGCACAGAAGTTCAGTAGTTTAAGTTGTCACCTAAACAGGAAATATCATTCACATACTCTTAGTCAATGGGGCTGTGCACTGGTAGCAAGTCAATCCTTAAGTCGCCTGGTTTATTATTATTATTGTTCCCTTGGGTTCCTAGTGGAACATAGGGCTTCAACCGCACGTCTCCACTTGCTTCTGTCTTCTGCTGCACTTTTCACCTGCATCCATGTTAATCCATACTGTTTCAACTCCTCTTCACACTATATCCTCCATGTCACCCTTGGACGTCCCACTCGCCGCTTCCCTCCAGGGTTCCACTCGAGCTATGGCCTGACGTGCGATGTCACCCAGTGGCCTCCTCAGCGAGTGTCCAATCTATCTCCACTTTCTCCTGCATATTTGTTGAGCGATTAGTTCTTGTTTTGTTTGTTCCCATAGTTCCTTGTTGGCGATTCTTTCCGGCCATCTGATCTTGAGTATAGAACGAAGACAGCTGTTGATAAAGATCTGCAACCTGTTGAAAATATTCTTTGTGACCCGCCAAGTCGCCTGGTAGCCTGGTAATATTATATTTCTTCATAAATGTAAATGGGGCTTGTAACCTACCTAGCATGCAAATTCGTACTAGGCCACAGGGTTGTATTATTACGTATTACTAATGTCCACTAATGTGGATACAACGTTTTAACTATAAGGAGAAAAGTAAGGGTATACAGCTTCATGAATAGGGGTTTACTTGCAGTCTAGATTATATAACAAGAAACAATGCCATTTTTTAATACCAGTTTAATGAAAATAAGGTGAAGTTAGAATGTAGTTGATAATTTGGCATTCAAGTTATTGAACTCATAACTTTGAACATGTCGAAATATTGTTCTCTTAGTAGTAGTAATACTATCGCGTATATACATCGTCGAGATGATTTTATTTTGTAATATTATATCGTATTAGTATTTTTCAAGCATAAATGTAGATATCGTAGCTATGATTCGGATTTCAGATCAGTTATAATTACTACTCCAAGTAAGAATTAACGTAATCCCACTTTGACTGTCATAACCTAAAGTGCTGTAATGCTGTAATGTTGACGTTAGGCGTAGAGTGTTGGGCAAAGAGGGAAAATCAGTCGAAAAGGCTATAAAGTTACATAGATTGAGATGGCTAGGTCACGTGCTGCGCGTGCCTAACCATCGCCTCCCCCGACGGGCATTACTAGCTGATATAGGTGCAGGTTGGAAAAGAGTAAGTGGTGGCCAAACAAAAACATGGCCTCATCAATCCATGAAATCCTTGACAGTTAAACTGAGTCAAGTAGGGAGATGCAGACTTCCGGGTTGGGGCCCTCGGGACTCTAAGAATCAATGGCTGGAGACACTAGGTGACATGGCTCAAAATCGTTGTCAATGGCGCAGATGTATTCAGTCTCTGTAATCTTTCATATTCCTTTCTACCATTACTCATTCTGTTTCACTCTTATACTTGTCAAAACTCTATTGATTCTCTTCACTCATTTTCTTGTCTACCTTTGTGTGTGCCATTTGGAACGTGGCAACTGGAACTGCTGCACTTCGGTGCCAAGTTCTATGTTGAATCCAGACAGACAACCTAAAATGCGAGGTATTAAGAACGAGTGGTTAGCAACCTCCCCTTGACCTCTGTCGAGAGAGATGGATTCACTCTTTATTATCTTCTCACTAATTTCCACCCCATTTACACGTCTGTTTTCTTCACTCATGTGCATCCATTTTGATGTCATTGTATTTCTGTTTGGTTCTTCCAAATCTTGATGAAAATAACCAACCACAACTAGCACCAATCAATATCAGCGGGGTAAATTTGAAAGAAGTCAATTCCTTCACATATTTGGGCAACATAGTTTCAACTATAGGTGACAACACGGATCAGGATGTCAAAACCAGTCTGGATCAGAAATGCAAGAACAGACCTTTACCACTCTAAAATCAGTTTGGGAATCTGATATACTCAAAATGAAAAACGAAATCCGAATTTTCAACACAAATGTGTAGCCGGTCAGTTCTTCTATATGGGTTAGAAAGTTAGCGCAGACGTCATGAAAAGCATTTCCAACAAATTGTGCAGACTTTTATCAACAGCTGCTTTCGATGACTCCATATTGAAGATCAAATGACCAGGAAGAATTAGTGACAAGAAACTCTGAGAACAAACCAATCAAGAAAATATTGCTCAACAAATACTCAGAAAAAAATGGAGATGGATTGGACACACTCTGAAGAGATTGTCGAATGACATCGCTCGCCAGGCCTTGCCTTGAGTGGAACCTGAATAGGAAACGACGAGTTGGGCGTTGGAGGAGATTGTGCGACGAGGAGTTGGAAGACTATGGACAATCCTGAAGTCAGATAAAGAAGACCGCAGAGAATAAGATAAAGTGGAGATGTGTTGTTGAATCCTTATGTTCCACTCGGAACCCAAAGGAACAAGGATAACTGTAACTGACACAGTTCTATAAAAATGTGTCTTGATCGTTTTTCTCTTCGGTGGAATCTGTTTTGAAGTTTCTGTAGCGATTGGGTTGATTTTCCGGGGCAGGGTAGCCAGTCTCACGCCCAACCATTCTTTTCCCTGGCTTAAGACCGGCCAGTAAACTAGGTGAGGCTCAGTGGAGCCTGACTGATATTTAAACTGTTAGTTCCACAGTTTATTGTGTCAATACATCTTTTCCCTTTTTCAGGCATTAAGAATAATCGATGTCATGAATCGAATTTTAACAGAAGAAGTAGGCTCAACTATCAAGCCAAATGTTTTTGAGCCTCAAAGCATCACGTAAGTCCTTTTTTAAAAGGAAAATTTAGTATTCTATTTAAAAGTTGATTTTGGAAGCGAATTTTAAAATTTTATGCTAAAAGTGAAATAGTGGCATTATTTGACATTTAAAAACTTCAGTGAAACATTTAGATATGAATCAATAGCTGTTGGTTGTATAATTTTGTATAATTTTCGCATACCTTTACTAAGGATAAAAGTAGAATGTCCAAGTTTCCCTTTAAAATATTCGTATCTTAACAGTTGTATCACTTTGTACATTTCCATTACGTGGGTTAGTTACTCAACAACTATTTGCATTTGCATGCGGTTGGCAATGAGCCACATCTATCGTGTGGGGATTAATGCTACTACTTGGCTGCTGAAATTTCACTAGGTGGAATAGAATTTCAACCCGTGACCGAGTGGTTGGAAGGTGTTCTCATAAACCAACCAGCCACAGATCCACTTTCAATTTGTACATAGTTATGTATGTTTCTAATATATCCAAGTTGACTGCTATGCCTACCGATTCCGTCCTAAATCTCGCCTAGTTTACTAGCTGGTAGTAAACTTGGAAGTTTTTGTCTTTGTAGACCTACGTTAGTAGGCTAAATGAAATCACAATGAATCAATAAATAAAAATCGATTGTTCATTGTCTAAGTGTTTTTCGTTGTGTTTACGCACGATTCATTAAAGTAAGAGAATAGGTGTTTTGTTGTTAGAGGTGGTTAAAGGTAATCGATATGAACACATAAGATCTAAGTTTCGTGCTTATTAGCACTCGTCAGCAAGGTGTATCTACAATCTTGAAGGAACCAATGTCCTCTCGGATATTCAAACCCACATCACTATCGACCTGCAACAGGAATGTAATAGATACATTGAGTGGTCATTTGGTAATCGTGTGTATCTCTCATCCTTGGTGTTGATTCTGACTGGATTCTATCATTCAAGCATAAATTTACTCCACTTTTTGGACGATAATAATAATCAGTTAGTGTATTTGCTATACTGGGATGGAAATCCAACAAAACTCAACAGCCTTTCATCTATCTGTCTAATACGATAGTATTCATGGTGCTGTCGTTCATCATACCTTCTTCACTTTTTTCTTATATGATACACTGCTTAATTTCATTGTATTGTAAACTAACAAGTTGGTATTGCATGTCTTCTGATTATGTACAAATATGCTATAATTTATTGATTAACCTTAATTTGTATGCTTATTGAGTTTCTTATATTCATTTACTTACACTGCACAACAGTATATATATATATATATTTATTTATGATATAGTAAAACTTACTCTATCTAGGTGATTAGATGCGATTATTTTAGGTCAACTTGTAAGGGATAAAAGTAATCACTATTGCACACAGATCTAATTACACTATACTGTTTTAATATTGTCTTACTTTTGGTGCGTTACACATTGTAGTAGTCTGCTTTTTCTCCAGTGTTTGTGTGTGTGTTTGAGTTTTTCAAGTATGCGATGATAGGAATTGATGTTGAGCCTGTGGTTTATTTGCCTAGTCAACCTAGTCACTAGTTCTGTGTAGTTGACTACTTCAAATTTTACAGTTTTGGAAATGAAAAATAATTTCACTGTCAGTTTCTTTAGAGTTTGAATACTTCTCAGCCTTAAATATAATCTACGGAGTGGTAATGCATTTTGATACAACAAGCTGGATTTTTAAAGCGATCGATTCCCTTTATGAATTTCTACAAAAGAATAAGAAAATGTAATTTATCTGAAACGTGTGATGGATTTGTGCAACACCATTTGGACATTCTGACCTGTCATCTCTTATATAAAAACATGTATGACAATTATGCGTATGATCGTCACACGTTTCAGATAAATTTTACGTCATCTTATTGTTTTGTCGAAGTTGGATTTTCATCTTAATATCAGGAGAACCAACACAGGAAATTTAAAAATACAAGTATAAAGAAAATCAACGCACACAGATCAAATACTCAACTATACTAGCGATAACCCAATTACTCACAAAAGAAACTGTGTACAGACATTGTTTAAAAGAATTCAAACACACTGTAGCACTCCAGAGTTGAAAAGAATAAAAGAAAAATACCTATAAACGGTTTTCAAAAAGAATGGTTATCCGTGATGATATTAGATGGTTGGAAGCAATCGGCAGGAAGCCTTGAACCTAGGTTTCGTGCAAGTTGGCACTCCAAGTCCAAGGCTTCCTGCCGATTGCCTCCAACCATCTAATATCATCACAAACAATGTACACCGTGATGGCGAGCTACCTAGAATGATGGCCACATTACAACCTGACTGATAGAATCCAGTCTACACCAAAGAGAGGACCAGACGCATCACACTAGTTACTAGTGTCAAATCAGAATGGTTATCTACAAAATTTCATCAAAAAGTGTATAAAATCGAATCACAACACCAACAAGGAACCATCATCAGTGAACACAAGAAAATTCATCCTACCATATATCAGCAAGAATATCTCTGAAATAACAGCTAGAATATTGAAACCGTTTGATATAGATATAGCACACAAGCCAGTCAAATCACTTAATTCGATATTGTGCAAACCGAAAGATCCAACAGAAAAAGGAGATAAAATTAACACCATTTACAAAATAAATTGTATGAACTGTAACAGGCATTACATCGGCCAAAGTGGGCGTCCCCTTCGAATCAGAATCCAGGAACACAAATCAGCCGTGAAAAGACATGATATATATTCTTTCATATCAATGGATATAGATAATTATGGACATCAGTTTGATTGGGATAATGTCAAAATCTTAGACAGAGGAAACACCAAAAGTGCCAGGGAATTCCTAGAAGCCTGGTACTCAAATGAATATGCAATTAACAAACACGTTAATATAGACCAAATATACCAACTAATAAAAAGTAAATCATGTGACCAGAAAGTTTAAAATCCAAGTCAATAGAAAATGATCAATACATATGTAAAGATGGTTACCGGGAGACGCAATTCTATCACTCATGGAAAATTTAAATCAGTTCACTTTATGCTAAAAATTGCACTGAAAGGAGATGTTGTCCAGAAGGACAACGAAAGCTCCGCAACTAAACCAACCAGCTCAAAGAACACTATTAATTGCAAATCATCCACCTGAGCTACAAATCTTCTCTATCATTTTAATATCCAGTGTTATAGAAACAATTGAAATATGGTATTGTGCTGCGTCGGTGGCACAGCGGTTAGGATGCTCGCCGACCATGCGCATGGTCCGAGGTTCGATCCCCGGTCGACGCACTCCTTTACCTCGCTAAGCCAGTAGTAGAAAAAGATGGTAAAGAGAAAAGGCTGGCAACCCCATCCTGTAAAAAAATAAGTACTGCTACAGAAACTTCAAACCTCCAGTTTGAAGCCCTATGTTCCAGTGGGAACGTAAAGAAATGCAAAAAGAAACTACGTTAAACATTGTCTTTTGTTAAGAGTTATGTGTAGTTGGATTGATTTCTTTTTTCCTGAATTAAGATTAACACAGGTAAATGTTGAAATAGACAATGTGCGATATTAACGTGACAGTGAATCAATAGAATTTTTTTTTTTCATTCCTTGTATGACGAGTGGAACGTAGGGCTTCAAGCTCTGAAGTTCCGATAGCAGTGGTGTTGTTTTAATGGAATGTCGTTGCCAGTTTCATACCCAACCTTCCCCTTTTTTCTTGGTTCACTACCGGTTAGCGTAAACTAGGCGAGATTTAAGGTGTGTCAGTCGACCAGGAATCGAACTGAGACTTCCCATTGAATCACTAATGCATGTTAGAATCACACGTTATTCTTTTTCGGTTGTGTTTTGTCCAATTGGGCTTGAGAAATTGTAATATCCTCTACTCAAATATTATTGCGTTTATTTTCAAAGATAATTCCACATAAATAGATTAGTTTACCCTTTATTTAAGCTGAGACAAGATATAAGTTTGCTGTAAGTGTTTAATCAGCTGAGAAAATATTCTCAGTTAACAGTTATTCTTACTACAGTTATCCTACGCATTGTTAATCTATTCAAATACATTTTTATGTTGGTAGTGTCCAAATTCTAATTCACTAGGTTCGTAGAGTTTTAAAGCGAATCTATTAAAATGCAGAGCACCTTCAACTTCTGCTAAGAATAACAGCATCATCTGTTATAGAAAGCTGAAAGTCATTTGATATCGTTGTTATATCAAGTCAGTGGAATTTTTAGCTTCCTTCTGAAGAGTAGCCAGTTTTTTGTTGGCTATTCTCTTGTTGCCTATAAAAGTTAGAGTTAAAAAGAAAAAAAGAAGCATATTGATGCGTGATTTGATTTTTTGAGAGGATTTCTAGTAGAATCAAATGGATAGTGGATTTGATTTCTTTTTTTCCCATATTTTTAGAAAAAAACTAAAATCATCTCAAGAATGAAGATAAAAGGGATAGAAAGATCAATATAAAAGTCTTTCATTTATACGTGTAGCAACTGAAGTTCTAAAACTGACAAAATAAAAGTATCATAGCCAAAGTCAAGGTCTTCCAAAAGCTGACCTTCAAGAACCGATCAGACACAGGGAATGCTATGAAATATTATGCCAAATCAAGTGATGCCTGCCTTTTTGGACTTGGAGACGATAGATACAGTATTCTAATTATTTACTAGGTACTTTTTCTGCAAATCTATACTGTTAGGCAGGGTAATGGCTTTTAAGATTAAGGTTTAGGGTTAGAGTTAGGAGTTAGGATCATGGTTAGAGTTTGGAGTAGGTTAGAGAGTAGTGTCAGAAATATCAATGGATCTCAAAATACTATGACCAATTACAGTCACCTGGATGAATGGGTATATCGCGCATGGTACGATTTCTCTATAGATCATCTGTATATTGACTGGGAGACATTCTTACAACACATAAGCTACAACTATACGGTGTAATATCAAGTTTGCAATATTTTTTAGTGTATTTTTCAACGATTATGCGACTTTTTTGTATCTGAGTGTGATTGGCTGTTCAAGGTCATTGTGGTTTTTGGCTATGATAGTTTAATTGAATTTTAGATTTTCCCGTCGATTGATTGGACTGAAGTGCTCGGTCTCAGGTTGACATGTCGGCTTCTTGTGCAGATGCTTCGGCGATGTCTGGGCATTTGATTAGTATTTAATTGGTGGATGGCGCATCCTGGATTCCACTGCTAGTCACCACCCACCAATTATATGATAGTTTAACTTTGCCCTAAAACTCTTTAATAAAAGTATACTGACACCACAATAGATAAACTGGATTCGAAAAGAGGAATCCTAAGTAACTGCAGATTGGTGAGAATGTTCAGCAGTTCAAAGAGTGATTACATTTGCTCAACCTTGAATAGTCATTTCAGACAGTGTTGCAACCATTAGTCCATCACAGCCCCAGTTAAGCAAACTGTTTACCTGTACATGACTCGAAATGACGCTAAAAGACTTTATAGGCTTGTTTAATGCTTTGGTTTGACTACTTCTAATTACTTTCCAATTTGCTGTTACTTCAGGCAATACTAATTGTCGAGGGAAACTATGACTTCGTACTCTTTACACGTATCCTAACCACTTCAGTCGATAGGGGATTTTTTTACCTAATTGATTGATTTACCTTTCCCAACTAACACTCCATGTCCCACATCAACCTTGCTTACTGCATGATTCAACAAAAACAACTATGATCAAAACGTGTAGTCCACCCATTTGTCACATTTGTAAAAGTTGGACAGTAACTGCGTCTGAAATATATCTTTTTATTCCTAATACCTAGTGAATTATGTAATTATTTCACCATGAAATATAAAATATTAAATGATTTTCCTCTAGTCGATTGATTCACTTGACTTAATATTGCATTTTTTCTTTAAAAAATTTCTCTTTAAGGCTTCGTTTACATTTGGATATAAGAGAAGACGATGGCTCTGGTGTTAATTTCACTCCTGTACCAAAAGAAAAATCGGAATTGTTCAAGTTACGTAGAGGTACAGCTAAACGCCTATTGGTTGGTATTAGTCAAGTTGATGGACACGTTTATCTGCCTATTAGTGGGTTAGTTAAAACATGTATCTAAATATTTTTGATAAAATATTAACTGCATGAATACCAAACCAAACATGCGATTACTTGTTCGGTTTTAAGATTGTATTTCAAGATTGATCATGAAGTGAATTCAGCAGTTACAGAACTATTGAAAACCAGGGAGTACTGGACAGCTATCATGTCCTAGTTTGAGACTGTTCGGCGGTACGGATCCATGGTCCTACAATAGATTGAACCCAGGACAAGTCGAGCTCATACACCATTGAGCCACTGGGGCGGAATTCAGTGGCCCCATCAATTCAAACATTTGGTGATATATGGCGCTAAACAACCAACTAATGCCATCGGCGAGTATTTGTCCTCACACTCAACTTGATGGACCTCGCTGATCATGACTTTACACTAGAGTTTATAAACTAAGATTCTTCATGTGAGTGTAGTCGGACGTGGTTTTTAGCAGAGATACTAGATACCCATCCATTCACTTCTCTTTGTAAGTAGGTATTAAAAGTTGTCACACTCCCTTATTAGACACTCACTTGTTATGCTTTTTTTACGAAACCTGCAGACATATATACATACATGTAGTGAGGTAACTAACTGGCTATTCAGTTAAATTGTTATACAATTATATTTTTAAGGGTAAATTGTATCAATGTGAAAGGAAGCGGTTAAAATTGAAATCAACATTTTAAGTCAATAACTGCAGAGGTAGAAGCGTTTATTTCTCAAATCTGGATCTAGTTTATGTGATATGGACATGAAATAAAAACGTATTAGACAAATTTTCGTCTCATCGTCTAATCTTTGGCTAATCGCCAACCAATCAGAATATTTTATTTTCCGTTGACGTAGTGGAATAGTATTGTGGCTAAAAATGTGTAAATATGACGTGTTTTTCCACAATAAAAGTCCGTATCCTAACAGTCACAGGCCAGTCTTTGTCTTCTTATATTTACGTGTCACAGTGAAGTGGAAGGTACTGATGACGGATAGGTATATCTAGCAAATCAGTTGACTTGTCCATTGCGTTCAGTCATATCAACTGTTGACGAGATCATCTCACACTGGATGTTCTTACATACGTTGTACATTTCTTCATAAAAGATCAGTACAGCAGAAACAGTTGTCTATCTTCGCGCCAAGGACTTAGTCATACTGATTTTAGTAGCCATTCTTGTCTTACACCTACCACATAACATTGCAGTTTTGAGTGAGCAATGTTTGAGTGTTACAAGCTAGGTAGAGAAACAGATGTTCAGTTCTGGGTTTTCAACGATTGTCCAGTTCATTTCAGTTGTTGACACAATATCCACTTTTTATATCTTCGATTCATTCAAAAAGGATACGGATCTACGCACTACAGTTAGAAATACTGTGCATCACAATATTTTTTATTCCTTTTACGTTCCCAGTGGAACATAGGGCTTCAAGGTAGAGGCTTGAAGTTTCGGTAGCAGTGGTGTTTGTTTTTACGAGATGGGGTTTCTGGTCTCATGTTCAACCTTTCCTCTTTACCAGTCTTACTACTGGCTTAGCGAGGTAAAGGAGTGCGTCGGCCGGGGATCGAACCCCGGACCATGTGCATGGTCGGCGAGCATCCTAACCGCTGTGCCACCGACGCACGCATCACAATATGATCACTCCCTTTTCATTATTGAGTTCACTTGCATGTTTTAACAGAAATGATCGGTCTCTGTTGACATGTCGGCTGTTAGTACGGACGCTTCGATGATTTCTAAAGATTAACATATTCTTAGCAGAGACTGAGCATTTCAGTCCAACATAATCAATTAACACAAATGCAAATTAAATCAAACAGTAATAGCTGATATCCGTTATACAAGATACGGCTGTCATGGCTCAATGGGTAAAGCTTAAGCGTTTGAAACTATGGGTGCAGGGTTCGAGTTTTAGCGGGAACACCATCACTCACTGAGGATGTAGGTACCAGATAAGATGAAATCGATTCCACTCCTAGTCACTATCAACCAAACTAACAGTACTCTCTTCCTACCCTATGGGTTTCTTAAGCTTGAGGACTATGTCGATTTAGCACTACAAACCTGTTCCTAAACAAGAGAAAAGAGACGTCACTGCTGTGATTATTATAATCATATATTCTTCTGGTAGCTTTTGTTTTATTGCCAAGAATCACAGCTGAGATACAAAATTGGTGTTTATTCAACATATCTATATACGTATTACTTATCTGTATGGCTGCATTTCTTTTTTTCATACCGCTTAGTATTTTAGACATTTGTGTGGGATACGGTCGTTATTTATCAGAGAGTGAATTAACTTATTTGGGAGGTGAAGAAAATGCCGCACGTGGAGAGGCATCATTAAACCTGCTAACTGGAACTTCTTTTTCCACTTGGGTCACCTGGCCATCAAATCATAGTCAATTTTCAATGTTCGATGTTCTTGGAAATCGGGGTTAGTATTTGTGTGTGTGTGTGCGTATGTGCACAATGAGTTTTCATATGCTTTTAGTGGTTTTACTTTACATTTTTAAGATAAACTGGTCATTACCTACCCACTGCTAACAGCATATTCCCCTTCGATTATATAGCTAGATTCGCTATTGTCGTGTACACAAACCACTTACATACGGATCAGTTGTGATCAAAAATATCGTGATGTTAAAACTTCTGAATTGGGAGCTAAGTGCAACTAGTTTGATTCTCATATAGAGCAAGGATTTCCTCAATATTGTAGATATTCCATACTTGTAACGGTTGACAAGCATGAAATCGAAGATCATATTCTAATTCATACTAAATTACACCAAGAATGCTTGTCAACCACACACGTGGTTTGGATTTGACTCCCGGCCGATGCACTCTTAAACCTCTCTTTACCGGTAGTAAACATGGTAAAGAGAAAACGATGGGCGTGAGTCTAGCAACTCCACCCCGTAAAAGAACAACATCTCTATTGAAGCTTCAAACCTCAAGACTTTAGCACAACGTTCCACTCGAAACACAAAGGAGTGAAAAAAGCCAGTGGGACAAAAGTAAATGTCATAGTTCACATCAGTGATATTTCACTTAGTTTAATAACTGCATTCTATGCTTGGTGAGTACATTTCAGTCGACATTCAGGGTTGAATAGACACATTGACGCTTAGGAACACTGAATTCCTTACAAAATTGTAAACAGCTAGTAATAGTATTGTTTCACTTAGTTATGCGTTTGGTAGACGAACCAACTTGATCTTATACTGTACGGACTAACTGATTGGTTTCAACGTAGAACTTTGCACAGATGTGTAGCAGTCCCAGTTTCCACACTCCCTCCTTGTAGCACACAAAGCAAGAGTAAAGAGAGATTCAAAACAGAGATAATAAAAACAAATATGAGACAAAAGGAATAGTAATAATGAAGAGCAATATAGTTGCATTGGGTATTATAAGTCACAAGGAGTGGATGCATCTGCGCCATTGAGAAGGATTTTGAGCCATATCACCGATTGTCTCCAGTCATTGGTTTTTACCGTCCCGAGGATCCTAACCAGTCAGGAAGTCTACACCTTCCTATGTGGCTGACTGTTGTGGAATTTATTGACTGATGAAGCTATGTTTTGGTTTCACTACCACTAGCTCTTTTCCAGCCTGACCCTATATCAGCTAACATTGCCCGTCGAGGAAGGCGATGGCTATGCTAGGCATGCGTAACACGTCCTAACCATCTCAGTCGATGTAGCTTCACAGCCTCGTCGATTGATTGATTTCCCCTCCCACCTACCTAGCACTCGGTTGAGTCCTAACCTCAATATTACTCACTTGATTATACCACTTAACACGAGAGATAGAACACAGGCACCTATGATCAAAGACACCTAGTCTTTTCGCATCTTTCGTTATCAATAGTCATGTCTCACCCACAACCATACAGGAGGACATAGCGAACTTCTGAGCAGTACATACACCCTTAGGCCGATAAGCCAGCCGGATATCACGTCTGACATACGCCAAACGAGCCTTCGGTATCCGTGCTATCAGCTATCAATCCGCTATCGGTGGCTGATACAATTTCTCAAATAAGTGAAGTGGTCAACACGCTCTACCCTTTTCACTCCCTATCTTTAATTTAGAAGTGAGCTAATGTAGTCCAGCCCTGTACTGCAGTTTCACTGAAACGTATTGTGTGTTTTATGCATTGTCAAGGGTACAATAATTAAAAAGTGAATCTTCCTGCACTGAATCACCATTCAATTTTTTCATTAGCAGTAGATCCCTAAGCATATATATATATATAGTTGGCTATTATGTACTTTTTCTAACCATGTTGACAAAACCGAACCATAATTGTTTTTTTCCCTGTCCTGTACTTTTAATTAGATGAATGCATTTTCTTCACTGTCGTCGTCCGCTTTATTGTTCATAGACTTGAGAAACCATTATGTCTACGACGAATATGTCGAGCTCGTGTTTACAAGACAGATGAAATATTTTGGCTGTCTTTAGACAGAAAGCCTGTCGTAGAAGATTATACTATTCAGCTAACTGAGGTTTGTTTGTTCTGATAATAAAAAAATGTTTTTTTCTCTTCTTCTAAAAATGAATACATATAATGTTCTACTTAGCTTAATATCTGACTTATCAAATGACGTATTTAACGTATAAGCATCAATTTAAACATACGCATAAATAAACATTATTGACATGTTTGTGAACTCAGCACACTTTCTCAATCGATCGACTAGCGTATAAATGATCAGTATAATCTGTTAAACATCGTTTTAGTTACACCTTACTGTAGGATTCTAGAAGTGCTATCTATAACACTAGTACGTTGGATTATTATTATTATTATTGTTCCCTTGGGTTCCTAGTGGAACATAGGGCTTCAACTGCACGTCTCCACTTGCTTCTGTCTTCTGCTATACTTTTCACCTGCGTCCATGTTAGTCCATACTGTTTCAACTCCTCTTCATTCGATCTCCTCCATGTCACCCTTGGACGTCCCACTCGCCACTTCCCTTTCGGGTTCCACTCGAGCGATGGCCTGACGCGCGATGTCACCCAGCGGCCTCCTCAGCGAGTGTCCAATCCATCTCCACTTTCTCCTGCATATTTGTTGAGCGATTGGTTCTTGTTTTGTTTGTTCCCATAGTTTCTTGTTGGTGATTCTGTGCGGCCATCTGATCTTGAGTATAGAACGAAGACATCTGTTGATAAAGTTCTGCAACAGGCTGTTGGAAATATTCTTTGTGACCCGCCAAGTTTCTGATCCGTATAGAAGAACTGACTTCACGTTTGTATTGAAAATCCGAATTTTGTTGTTGATGGTGAGTTGAGTGACGAAGATTTCCAGATTGGTTTCAGGTTGATGAATGTGTTTCTCGCCTTCCCGATTTTCGCTCGATTTGACATCCTCGTCCGTTCTTCCTGTAGTTGAGACAATGCTCCCCAGATAAGTGAATGAAGTAACCTCTTTCAAATCCCTTCCGTTGATGGTGATTGGCGTTGGATGTTGCTGTTGTTGTTGTTGGTTGGTTATTTTCATAACCTCCGTCTTGTCTATGTTCACCTGGAGTCCTGTCTTTGCTGCTTCTTCGACCAGTTTGTCGGTTTTCGCTTGTAAGTCTTCGATTTCGTGTGACATGAAACATAAATCATCCGCGAAATCTAGGTCTTCTAGGTTCTTCACGTCGGTCCAGGATATCCCTGTCTTCTCGTTTCCCACTGTCTGACGCATAATCCAGTCCACTACGATTAGGAATATCATTGGTGATAATAAGCACCCTTGTCTGACTCCTGTGTTTACTCCAAACGCCTCGCTGAGTTTTCCGTTGTGGATCACTTGACATGTGCCGTTGTCGTACAGCTGTTGAATAAGGTTGATGAATACTTGGGGAACGCCGTAGTACTCGAGTAGTTTCCAAATTACTTCGAGGTCAACGCTGTCGTTGGATGCATTCATAAAATTATACATGTGTGTTGTAACCTATTTACTGAAAGTTCATAACTTGATCCATTGATATCTTGAAATCACAGAGGATAAAAGTTCCTTTCTTTGCCGATTTAGCGGTGATTACTTCTCTGATATCAATGAGCTTATTGGTCAGACCTACATACAGTAGATGATTACAAAGAGAACTAGTGTACTCCTGATGACAGCTGGAGATCGACATACGCTGACTTGTCATTTTCATTGAGTGAGCAGTGTTGACTTTTAGTGTACAACGTTAGTTAAAAAAGTAAAGAGATTCAGTTCACGAAATCTAGACACTTAGATGACTGAGACATAGCTTAAGCATTCCAACCTATTATACTTATCTTAAAACATGTTAACTTAATAAAGTGTTAGGCTTGTTTTACGTAGTTTCATCCCTTTCACCCTATCAGTTCGATAATTTTCATTATTTTCGTAAACGTAGAACTTGTAATAAACCTTAGTCTGCTATCGTTAGTCAGCTAATTCATGGTATCAAGTCATAAATCAGATAACCTGACGGAAGACTTTAATATTTAATCCAGTCAAGCAATAAGCTTTGTGCTCACGAGTCTAATGCAATCAATACACTGACAGGTTCATAGGGACTAACCACAGAATCTCCTGATTCTTGTAAGATAGATTTTTCGTAATCATCCTAGTGACTCTGTTCAGCTGACACTTGATATATTGAAACTCAGGAGCTAATCTTTTCAAATAGCATAATCTATGAAGGGAGTACACTCCATTTGCGCCCATGCAATTGTGTAATAGCTTATGTAGATTTGTCCTTCTAAAGTGATAACCAGAGGTATTTGTCAGGGAATTCTAGTGTCACAGTTCTGATTTATTTTAATCGTGAACGTGCAGACGACAGTGAGTTTTTTTCACTTCCACATTTCAGGAATTGACTTCTTATCTGGAAAAAGTTTTATTGGTTTAGAGTAAGACGATGAGTTATTTCATATATGTATATGAAGACATCGATAAATTACAGTTTCCTGAACATCCTGAGGATAAATCTCAATACGTTTTACTTTCTGCTACATGATTGCTCTGTGCCGGCGACCAGTTTATGTTGACCACTAGTTGTGAAGTCGTGTATGTTTTCACTAACTGGGTTACTGATAAAATTTAATGGCTCCGTTTGACATTTGGTATCTTTTGTGATCTTCGACACTAGTGTGATTGCTAGCTACCAATCAAAGGACATATACACTAGACATCAGTTTTTTTAATATTCTACTTCACTGTTGTGAAACATAGTCTATGGAAATGGACGACATCAAAAGATTAGCGGTTTTCGCTCAATGTTACTTTTGTTCAATTTCTAGCGTTAGATCGACCAATATGTTGAGTAATATAAGATTAGGTTGTCAGGGTAACTCTATCGATGGGGGACTATATCAGTTGACATGATTACGATGTGTGTTACTTATTCCCATGCATCACTTCATGCGATATCCACTGTCAGCTATATTAGGATTAGGTTGGAAAAGAGTCAAAGTTGATCAGACCAATCCCAGGACAAATCCACGATTCGATTGTCTAGTCGTCTGAGACATGAAAGAGGACTGATTAATTAATTAATTAATTGGGGCTAGTGACTCTTTGTTACGTGACTCAAAATTGTTCACTGTGGTGAAGATGTATTGACATCTCATCATCGAAATCCTAGCAATCTTCAGTTATCCACCCTTCTCATTTTTTTTCTTCCTTATTATGCATTTTCGCCACTGACTACTAATTGTCTGAAATGCAAACTAGCCTGTAATCTTGAATATATCATTACCCTCCAAAAAGGTAAAGAGGAAACAGATAAAATATTCAGTGATACCACAATCGATAATCTTGAGCGTAATAAGTGGAATGATGAATCACATGAAGAGTAATGATGATTCTCCTAAAATCGAAGATAATGAGGCATGGACGTATGTTCACTACTGTGTTTAACCAACTAATTCTTAGCATTTCAATAACGTCAGTAGAGTTGTCACGTGGAGTATTATTCCCATTACATTTCTTTCTTTACAGAGTATAGATGAAAATGGCAATCTGTATGCTGGTAAAATAGTTGCAATCACAGATGTAGTCGCTTTTCATCAAGATCATAATCAAATTACTCCAGGTGTTCCGTCTACAGCCAATCCATCTGAAGGTAAGCTGTTACAATTATTGGTAATCAGTAGTATATGTACAAAAGCACTAATTATATATTAATACCCTGACAACGACACGTATTATACTATTGCTACGTTCATGTAATGACTGAAGTAATAAACTATTCAGACATTTGAAATAAAATTATGAATTGGGAATAATTTTTTGAGGTGTTTATTTGGATGGTTTCAGAGTTCTTGTTAATGTGTAACATTTGCTTCACAGTCATATCTAAGCCTTAGGCTTCAAAGTTAATATATGTGTAAAACGTGGGCACTGTAGTAGTATGTAATTCCACAGTAGTTTGTGTATTAGATATATCACACAGTGAAACAGTATTATTTTCTGGATGACACAGTTTCGAAGAAAATTTATCGTTTATAATCATATCAATTATAATCACACGACTTGGAAATCTGAGTTTTATAGTCTTCTTTGTGAAATGATTTCCAATTAAACTGTTCTGTTCTCCGTTATTACTATTCCTTTGTCTCACACCTCTGTTTACTGTCTATATTATGCATTTCTTCTACTTTCTTCTCTTGCTTTGCGTGCTACATGGATTATAGCGACTTGAACTGCCGCGCATACGTGCAAAGTTCTATGTCGAAAACCGACCGACCGACCTTTGTTCCCTCTTATTTGTCATAGGGGTAGTAGAATTTCCCAGATGTCCGAGTAGACAGGTGTTGAATCATTACTATTATACGTGTTTGCAGTTGATTCGATGAAGAAAACTTCTGTTACCAATCTCTCCCTCCAACCTGCTACATTAGATTTTAAAACTGTCATCCTATCCCATCCTATTGTGTGTTTGTGTGTAATTGTATGTGGTGCTATAGCTGAACTGTTCTCTAGATTTTTAATCTCATTTGGGTCAACTATTTTAGATTTTTCTGGATTTTTGTGCTCTGCTAGTCTGACTGAACCTGCTCTTCTACTTTGATCTATGCATTTGACCTGAAAGTCATTGTAAGCAGGGTATTAGATAAACTAAATTGTTTTGTTCAGTTGGGTGTTTTACAGGTTGCTTTAACTGATAAAGCTTGTTCCCAAGTGAGTTTGTGGGTTTGAATGCCACTTTTATTCTTGCATTGTTAAGAATTCTGCTTAAGGTTTCCGAGGTTCCTTCTTTGCATAGAATTACAACTGATGATTTATATTCCCTATTGTTGTTGTCATTATTCTTTGCATGTTTGACATGCATGTCGTCATTGAAACTATTATTATTATTATTATTATTATTATTATTATTATTATTATTATTATCATTATTATTGTCACTATCGCTACCATCATCATCAATCTTAGTTTTACATTTTTCTACATATTTCCTGATTAATCTATCAGGGTAATTATTAAGTTTCAAAGTTATGAAATCATATGAAATTTCATTTTCATGATTTTATGTTGTGGCCTATTGCATCAGGAATGTTTCGTGTTTGTTTAATTGCGTCCAAATGACACTTATTGAAACTGGGAGTATTTTTGGGATTCTGCACCATTAGTTATATCGTCTATCTGCACTCAGTAGGCTTATTGGATAGTGTTCATTGCTATAGAAGAAATAAGAAGTGGTTATTTTGTTTTTTTATTTGTATGTAAATCAATATTTCATAGATATTGTATTGTATGTGTACATGGCATATTTACAGAGAGTCAGTCATATGACAACATACTGTTTAATAGTTTCTAATACTTTTTTGTGCTTTTGGCTAATTCTAAGGCTAATTAACTACATAGGCCTTATTCATGTTGCGATTTTCTTCCATGAGAATTTCTAGCTTTTTGTTGGTAATACAAATATTTCACGCCTGTCACATAATGGAACCAATCTATAACCACCTACGTGATACGACGATTGAAAAACTTGGATACTAATTTTCTGTAAAGTTGGTATACACATACTTTTGAGAAGGTTTTTAAATAGGAGACAAGCTTTACTGTCAAACTGTTATTTTGGTCATTCTCATCATTGAGATGTCACATTATATGTGTAAAAGAGAAAAGTCATTTATTAAGAATACAAAACTGATTTCAATAGCTGTTACTTATCTATCTTACTAGATGTAATTCCATATTAGTTTGTTTATTAGATATATCACACAGTGAAACAGTATCATTTACTGGATGACGTTTCGAACAAAATTTATTGTTCATAATCATATCAATTGTGATCACACGACTTTGACACTTGAGTTTTATAGCTTTCTTTGTTTTCTCCTATTTGTCGTAGGGGGAGTAGAATTTTCCAGATATCGGGGACAGGTGATGAATCATTCCTATTACACGTATTTGCAGTTGATTCGATAAACAAAGCTTCTGTTATCAATCTCTCCCTATACCCTGTGACATTAGATTTTAAAACTATCATCCTATCCCATCCTATTGTATGATTGTGTGTAATTGCATGTAGTGAGTGGTATAGCTGAACTATTCTCTAGATTTCTTATCTTATTCGGGTCAACTAATCTAGATTTTGCTAGGTTTTTGTGTTCAGCTAGTCTGACTTCCCCTGTTCTACTAGTTTGACCTAAGTATTTGACCTGACAATCGTTGCAGTAGGGGTAATAGATAGACTAAATTGTTTCAAACCTTACTAGATGTAGTTTTTTATGTGGTGTCATAGATATCTTATAATTGTAGTCTTAACGATAGTAGTAGCTGTAATCCTTCAATACATGCTACACTAGAATCATTTTGTAAAATCAATATTTTGTAACACTTTCTGCATATACAGATGAAGTGTACAAAACAATAATTGTTATAAGACAGCTGCATTTTTTAGTTACGTTATTATTCACAGTCGTGGAGCTCACACAAAGTGGAATTAAATCAACAGGAAAACAATAGTGATAATTTTTCCAATATCATAAAATAAACACAAGTGATCATTATATATTTTCGATGTTGTCGTAACTATATTAGTTCCTCAATACATCCAAATTGCCACTCTACACATCATCATCAGAACAGAGCATAGAATGGTAGTCAAACCTGTACCTTAACTTCATCAACTTCGATAGTGTTGACCGAGAAGTAATTTGGAAATTGCTTCAACACTACGACGTACCCTAAGTGTCTATAAACCTCATACAACAGCTGGCTGTATGATAATGCGGCGTATTAGATAGTTAGAGACAATCGGCAGGAAGCCTTGGACCTAGGTTTCGTGCTAGTTGGCACTCATCAGCAAGGCGTATCTGCAAATTTGAAGAAACTCATGTCCCTTCGGAGATTCGAACCCGCTTCACATCACACTAGTTACCAATGTCCAGTCAAAGTAGACAATGCCACCTGTCAGGCGATCTACAATGGAAAGCTCAGTGGAGCCACTGAAGTGAATACAGGAGTAAGACAAGGTTGACGGCCTGTTGTCACCAATGATACTGATGATTGTGGTGTACTGGTTGTATTATGCGTCAGACTGTGTATGAGAGCGAGAGGACAGGAATACGCTCGACCACCGATAAAAAGACTCTAGAGGATCTGAACTGCGTGGATGGTTGATGTCCAATGACCCACAAACCCGATGACTTACAGACGAAAACCAACAAACTGTCTGAAGAAGCATGCAACGAAGATAGGACTCCAGGTGACGACAGAGAAGACGAAGGTGGTGATGAAGATAACCAACCAACAGCAGCAACAACGGCCACCATCAATCACCATCAACAGAACAGATTCGAAAGAGTTTACTTCCTTCACTTATCTACGAAGCGTAGTTTCAACTACACCAGGAATGGATGAAGATGATACAGCCAGCCAGATTCGGAAGGGAAGGATATACCGTCAGCAATCTGAAGTCGGTTTGGAAATCTTTTGCACTCAGACAGTATGAAGAACAAGATTCGAATTTTCAACACAAATGTCAAGTCAGTCACTGCTTTTATATGGGTCAGAAACTTGGTCAGAGTGTCACGTAAAGCATTTCCAACAGGTTGCAGATTTTTATCAATAGCTACCACCTTCGCTGCCTCCATACAGAAGATCAAATGGTCAACCAAAAAGAATTTACTAACAAGAAGCAATGGGAAGGAGTTATTGAAGAGGTCTGTGTGCGCCAGGCCATCACTTTAGTGGAACACGAGTGGGCAGCGACGATTTGGGCGTTGGTTCGAGTGTGACATGGAAGGGATTACACGAGAGGAGGTTTGAGACAATAGGCAATCGTCGGACCAGATAAAAAGGGCCACAGAGAACAGAGGTATGCTGTTGAATCCCTATGATTCACTCGGAACCCAAGGAAACAACAATAATAATCATACTACATTCAATACTTTTAAAATATAATTCTAACTATTACTGACTCACTGTCTTTCAGATGATCTCACGGATTTTATATTTTTCATTTTTTTAAAACCATTCGTTTGTGTCTTAGAATCATTCCATATAAGTTTATTTGTTATAAAACGCAGTGATAGAGTATTGATTAATAAATGGATTACCTTTCGAGTACAATTTACTGCTCATAATCACATCAATGTACTCATACGATTTGATATTTTGCTGTTTTCATCATGGAATTATATGCTACCAAAGTGCCTAAATTCTACTCTTACATAAATTCCTCAATATTATCTGCAATACTCGAAAAGGGTACAGTGTGCAGCTCATTAGCCTAAACATTCAACTTTCAGATGACAGGTGATGTGTTTGAATCTCGCTTCATCTAATTCAGCCTTACCAACTCAGTAGTTTCTTCAATGCACACACAATAAGTCTGACTCATAGCATGAGAAGTCTCTTCCACGTAGCTTGGTTGTAACACCAATACAAATTGAGAATTATTAGGAAATTTAAAAGAACCATAATCTAAATCATTTACTTTATTAATATTTTTATGAGGTCTACGCGCTAAATACGGACCAAATGATCTTCTTTATTATTCGATTTATCGTTTTTTTGTTGTATAATTTTGATTGATGACCGATATTTTTTTGTTCAGAAGGGTAGACACAAACTAAGGAGACTAGTGATTGATATCAAACATCAGAC